GTGTCCAAGGAAATAAACTACAACTTGTAGAATTGCAAGAGAACCATGGATTTGTATATCTCAGGAGATTGAAACTTCGGGAGCAACCGAGCAAGCAAGTAACAAAATTGCTATAGATTTACACATTTAACAGTAAGGTATAGGATCGAAACTTTGGGAACAAATGAGCAATTTACACGCCATTGGTTTAAATTTGCGTCCTTGTTATTGCATAGCTTTCTGAAGTTTAATCTCAAATTTGTACTGTAACAGTCTTAATAAGGTCACGGGATGTAGTTGTTATACATCTCATATTCTCTCTTTCATTTAACCCAACACCTTTGAGGCTGATTAGGTATATTATGAAATCTACTTGTTGGCAAGGGGAGCTGAGTGGATCAGGTTTTGATAATAATTGTCCAATTTTATGTGTCAGCATCATAGTTGTTGCGTCGTGCTTTTTCTGCATTGCTGTCTAGGTCACAATCTTTGGTTATTTCGTATCCGGAGGTGTTGGCAAATACTTATTCTGTTCCACTAATAGTTTCACAATAAGATGATGTATATATGCTCTATTCCTCTAAATCTTTATTCATAATGCACAGAAATCAGAGAATGGCTGAAGACCAATCGGTACTTGGAAGGCGGCGTATTTATTATGATCAACATGGGAGTGAGGCACTAATCTGCAGCGACAGTGAAGAAGAGAATGCCGAAACAGAGATAAAGAAGCTTGATTTCTCTGAAGGAGAAGATAGAATTATAAGGTACTTCAAAATTGATATTGGTATCATTTTGACTTGAATTTGTAGCTTTACTCTAATCTTGTAGAAAAGTTGAGGTTTAATAGATCAGCACATGTTTCCTACTCAAAATAGCTCATTTATGTTAACATTACATGTGGAGACTGCATCTTGTATTCTTATTAGGATAAAAAGGGAAATATCCCTAAATAGGACTAAACGAGTTTGTGTATTCCAAAATAGGACTATCATGCATTTATTCTCTAAATAGGAGTAGTTTGATAGAGACTTCAACAACGCTGCAGAAATTTAGTATTATATTGATGAAAATCTCAGAAGACAGTAACTAGTATCAGACTATACCAATTATGTAATATACTATGATGCCGGCCCAAAGCTAACTAGTATCTGGCCCAAAGCTAAGTATACCAATTATGTAATAGACTTTAAACATGACAGTATTTTTCAAGCTTGGCAGCAATTACTCTTATTTAGGGAATAAAAACATGGCAGTCCTATTTTGGAATTCTGAAACGTTTTTACTCCTATTTCGGGAATTTTCCCTAAAAAAATCAACAGTACCCCCTCCGTCGGTCCTTCCCGTCAACTTTGAACCACACCGTTCTAACTTTCTTGATCTATGTTACACTTATCTTCTATTTTAATGATGGGGCGGATGGAGTATTATTTAGTTCTTACGCTTTACTGGATTTGTGTAGGATGGCTTTACAAGAGTACATGATAAATGAAGAGGTTCTTAACATGTTGGCACAATTTATTGGAGGATCCACTTACGAAATCCAGGTAATGAGTTTCTTTTCAGACCCCCCACCATTTCATGAACTTTCGAAGTGGATGCCTGAAATTTTACAGCTATACTTGATTACTTTCTAAGAGTGATATCTGCTTTATGTATTGTGTATTGTGACACTCAGGACCGGTGCAATATGCTTGAGGGCAAATACACCGAAGCAGAAAAAAACATAAAAGTTTTGGGGGAGAGAGGTTCTGAAAGGAGCCAACTCCTGGAGAAAAGCCTGAACACTGCCTTGGATTCTTTTGATAATCTTTTCTGCCGCCGTTGTTTGGTAAGCCTTAAGAACTTTGATTTCAATTGAATGTATAAATTACTGTGCCAACTGATAACAGCTTTAATTTGGTAATCAGGTGTTTGACTGTCGTCTACATGGTTGTTCTCAAGTTCTCATTGATGCTGTATGTGGGATTTCTACCATACCTGCTTTTATAGAACTGTTAGTTTTTCAGATGAAACAAGTCTCACAATCATTTCACGTGCCAGAGCGAGAAGCAGTTGTGCTCTTTTGACAATGAAGTTCATGCAAAACCTTGCAGCAATCAGTGCTATCTTCAGGTAGGAGTTTTTGTTATCAGGGGTAGTGCTACACATGCCCCACCTTCAATACCAACATTTTCTGTTCACAGAGACACTCATGGATATGAGAACACTCACAAACAACAACAAAACAACAACATTATGATAGAGATCGATCCAAACAGTAAAAACAGTGGTGTATTCAATCAAGGAGTTCTGAGAAATCCTCAGATATCCTTAGGAAATTACAGAACAACAGAAGAACGTAATAGAAGTATAGAGGCAAGTTCGAGAGTGCCTCTCTCTCCCAAGACTCCCAGTTCCTATTCCCAATTTCTGCCCGCCTTTGTTCTATTCCCCAACTCCTATTTATAATCTTTTTCCTCATGGGCCAGCCCACAACTAGCTAGTACCTGGCCCAGAACCTCTTATACAATATCACAATTATTTAGTATAATACTATTATTATTACTATACTAATCTGCCCTGTTCCTATCACATTACCCCAGTGCCGCAAAGGCTCCCACCTACGGTGGGGTAAGGGGGGTCGGGTGTGCGTAGCCCTACCCTATACTGAGGTGCAGAGAGACTACTTCATAACAAAGAAGCACAGACAGTTCAGTGAGCCATTTTGCCTTATTCCATCATATTCCATCATGAGAACATAATCCTGTTTGTGAGTATCTGTCAAAAAATGGTGTTGGTGGCAGATGTGATGTTAAAATAGTATTTTCCTTGATATCATCACGTTGTTTCTGAATGCAATTCAGTTTAACAAGATTTGACAGTTCTGAAGGGAGGAAGTGGACTGTCTTGCTGTGGTTTGGTCATTTCTATACCTTAAATATTACTACCTCCGTCCCGCTATGATTGTCCCGTTTTACCTTATCGGTCCGTCCCACTAAGATTGACCCATACCAAATTTGGCAAAGTTGTGTGGCTCTAAATCATTCTCACTTTATTCTTACTTTATCAATTCAATATCAACCACATAAACCATTTTTTATTGATTTGCGTGACACTCCCTCTTGTCCCATTGTTAGCGGGACGGAGGGAGTAAGAAACAAGATTAAAATGTGAGAAAGGAATATTGTGTAAAACATAAAGGTGCTATAACATAGAGTACTATTTATATGTAACTATCGAGGATGCTTATGATACTATGTGAAATTGTGAAGTTCATTGTCTCAGCTAGCTCCTTTGAGTAACCACTTTTTACTCACATTGTTTTTTATCTCTTGATGGGGGAATACCTCTCTGTTCTCTTAGTTAAAAGTTTCTGGACTCTTGCGAGGGGATTCAGCCGTAGATCTACCAGGTACATCTGAAAGCAAGATTTTAGAAGAAGAGTCCAAGAGTTTGGGCAGTCCCAGTGCCGCAGAAGAACGTAAAAGTAGAAACAGTGATTGTTTTAATGAATGTGAGCTTCTCTCATCTAAATATTTCCATGTGTATTTTCTTTCTCTTTTCTTATGTGGGTCTGTACCTTTCATAATAGGTGAACATGCTGACTTAAGTTCAAAACAAAAAGCATTAGATCCTACACACCCAACACCAAGAGACCAAAAACTAGTGTCTGATGAACTACAACGTGACCATAAAAATAAGAAACTGAAGTTGCTAGCTCCTAGTTCCATTGGTATGTCCATGGAATGTGTATCTGACGTAAATCACCTGAAGATGATCACTGATGACGAGTCGCATAAGCGTTCATCAGAGGCCAGTAGTCTTGTAGTTATATCGGGAGGCAATACTGAGGCCAGTGAGAGAAGTGAGGAAGTAGCCACTCGTGACACTCCTAAGGAGAAACCAAACTCCAGCTTGAGAAGAGTACTTGGTAAAGATGCGCTTGAAGTATCAGACTGGAAACCACTTGAGAAAGAATTGTATTTGAAGGGCATAGAGATATTTGGCAGGAACAGGTGAGTTCTCTGAATTTCTGTTCCTTATTTCATTACTTATCTTAACAACATGTAGTTGATTAAAATCATAATTGTTTTTCTTTTGCAGCTGCCTCATAGCCAGGAACTTACTCCCTGGACTGAAATCATGCATTGAGGTTTCAAGTTACATGTATAATGATGGAGCAACAATGCATCATGGGTCCTCCGGAATTTCATGTTTCTTTTCTGGTCACAATTGGGAAGCTCAAATGGATCAAATGGTTTGTCAAATGTGATAAACTCTTTCTGCTCACTTTTAGTCAATCCAAGTGTTTAGCTAAGCCTGTTTTAAAACCACTTAAGTATATATACTTAGGAGTTTGATATGCAAGCTAGATCTCGCTTACTTCGTAGAAGGGGCAGAGCTAGGAAGCTCAAGTACTCAACAAAGTCTTCTGGCCATCCGTCAATGTGGAGAAGAGTTGTAGATGGGAAATATCAGTCTTCTAAGCAATATAGTCCATGTGGGTGCGAATCTATGTGCGGGAAGCAATGCCCTTGTTTACAGAACAGTACATGCTGTGAAAAATATTGTGGGTACGCTTAGCATATCTTTTCTTGTTTGTTTGATGAAGTCCTTTGCCTATTGTCATGGGTACCTGACTCATACATTGTCCATTTTAGGTGCTCAAAAGGCTGTAAAAACCGGTTTCGTGGGTGCCATTGTGCGAAGAGTCAATGCAGAAGCCGGCAGTGCCCTTGCTTTGCTGCTGGACGAGAATGTGATCCCGATGTTTGCCGCAATTGTTGGGTTAGGTAATGGATCCAATTCAATCCAGATGTTCCTCCCTGCCCCCCATCCACCTTAAAAAATGGATGTAGTAGTAACCGCCCCAATTTTTCTACATATTGGACCCTCATGGGGCCGGAGTCAGAAAAGGCTTTCACTGAACTTCAGTGGGCCTAGCCCCAACAAAACTCTCTGAACGCCCATGGGACCACAATTTCACCATAGTTTATTACAACCCCTGATAGGAACCAGAATCGAAAGAGAGAAATTGATGTCTATTAAGAATGTAAATGAAGAAACTGAAACTAAACAATACAATTGAGACACTTCGAGTAGTCTCAGCACTCCCAAGTCCAGACTAATTTCTGCCTACCTTCTTAATTTACTCCCAACTCCTATTTATAATAATTCCCTTATGGGCTGGCCCAAGGTTAACTAGTACCTGGCCCAAAACCCTTATTTGTACATTATCGCACTACTTAGTATGATTCTATTGTTATTTATATTGGCTGTCCATGTCTCTATCATATCTCCCCCCTTGAACAACCACCTTGTCCTCAACGTGGATGATAGGAAACAGCCCTGACCATCGTCTTCATCTTCAGTCATGCGCCGCTACCTTCCCAGTATCTCACAGATTTCTGAACCAGGAGTTTCTGTACTTCATCCTTCCACCTCATAAATGTTTCTGCAGCCGAAGATAAGTCTAATGAAGTTTCAGTCTCTTCAGTGGCTTTCAAGCACTCAAAGGACTGTATGACAGTTCTTTCAGGAATGAAACCGAGAGAGAGGAATTCGTTTGCCGAACTCCTTGATAATGTAGCTTCAGAATCTCCAGCTGCCACCCTTTCCAAATAAACTTGAAGCATGAGAACTTTCAACTCATCATCTCTTGGCCATTTTAATTTCTGAAATAAGATAACTTCCTTCTTATCTGTCAACAACTTCTTCCCTGTTCTGAGGTGTTCCCTCATGTTCACCTGAAGGGCATCCCATCGTTTCACATCATATAGGTTTTGCATGGCTTTAGCAGCCCCTTTTTTCTGTCTCTGGGAATGCTCTTCTTTTAATAAGAGTTGTTCGCGCGTTAACTGACAGCTCTTGGGCAGCATATATCCAGCTCCATACTCAATAGGTGGATGGTCAGAATTTTCAGAATGAGCTGTGACTTTCCCTCCTGCAAGCATTGTCGATGAGACATTCGGAATACATGCTCCAAACACTTCACAGATGGTCATCAGAGACTCAACGAGTCGTGGATCCTTGCCATCAGGAGAAAGTAACTGGACACAATCTACTAGTGCTATGCTAACTAGCAGGATATTCTGCATTGGTGCATAACAGCTCGGATGATTCTCTTTTCCAGAATACTCTGTACTTCTGTAGAAACTGGTGGAGACCACAGCTTAGTAATACAGTAGGAAGTGTGTTCCTCTTCAAAAGACATTCAGTCTACCATTTGTTTTCCCAATAGCTAAGAGCTGTGGAATAGAGCCAAGATGATTCCAGTACATCACACCACCACCAAAGTATTGATTATAATCCACACCAGGACAACCCTGGACCTCTAATTCTTCTGTGATATGATAATGGCGCAGTATCTTTTCCGTGACAAATATAACCTTGATCATAGTTCATGCTACCAAACCCCTCAGAGGAATTATTTTGTTTTTGCATTTCAATTTTGTCCTCCTTTTTTTCAGACTTTGATCCGCCCTCACGGCCTGGTATCGCTGATGGACCTGATGGTGATTTGTTTTCTTCATCTATCAGATATATACTGGAATCTGAATGCATTCTCCTTTCGCTAGGATCATCAGGAACACCAACCGATAGAGCCAAAGATTTACCATTGGCATCCTGGCCATTGACTAGCGACAGCTCGATCTCTCTTCCGGCTCGGCTATGACCTTGGTTCCTGGATGCCTCCTGTTTGTTGGCTGTCGTCTGAGAACTGAGAGATTCTCCTCTCGACCTCGTCGTATCTTGTCGTGAACTGATATCAGATGAAACTGGCGTACTGGAAGAAGATGCTGGCGGTTAAGACGAAATCTGCGAACAAGTAGAAACTATTGGCGTCTGCGAACTGTGAGACGAAGTTCGCAATTGCGAACTGGGATTGCGAAATCTGCGAACAAGTAGAAACTATTGGCGTCTGCAAACTATTGGCATTGCGGACGAAGCCAGACAACTGGAAGGAAATGCTCGCGACTGAGAACAAACCTGCGCACTGGGAGAAGCCGATTGCGACCAACCCTGCGAACTGAGAGGAGCCGTTCGCCATTGCGAACTGGGATAAACATCGAAGGTTCTGGCAACGGATGAAACTGACGCAGGTTGAGGAACGACAAACGAGGACGAGCTCTGAGATAAGGCGAGTGGGGAAGCCTGCTAACTGAAGTCATCAACTACCAACGATACCTGCGGACTGGTAGAATCGTCTAACGACGATAACTGGGAACCGATCGATGACTCTAAGTGAGGAGCGGCTAGCGATGATGGTGATACCCTGCTTGCAGAATTCTTGGAGGTTGAAGATATAATGTTTATAATATTCAAAAGGATAAATTTTAAAAGGTAAACTTATTCAAAACACAAGGCAAACTTGTATTTGTAAAAGTATTAAGAGACTTCAAGAACGAGACTCAGAGAGAAGAGCTGAAGAGTCTTAGTTGATTCACTAACCAAGGACTCATGTCGACGGCGGGCAATGAGACATATATACAGTAGCCGATTAGCGGTCTATGTTGGACGTTCATGCGTTTTGAGATCGGATTTTGATAGTTTTTTCCTAACTTTAAGGTGTCATAAATCTCAATTTTAAGCTCAAGCCATATTTACCGGCCGTTGGTTCGAGTTTTGGTATTTTTGGAGTCAAAATCAGGGAATTTGAGCCAGACACCGGTGTTTGAGAAGAAATAGGGACGAGTTGAGAAGCATTTTAGAGTTGATTAGGAGCATTGGAGATCAGTGAGGTGTTAAAGACAAAGTTTTGAAGACAAAAGAGCTCTAGAATTGGCTACGGGATCAAAAGAAGACGAATAGAGCTTGAAAACAACGGTCAGGATGACGTTCTGTAAATCTTTCAAGCATATCTTTTCTTAGGAACATCCAAAAAACATGATTCAAGTTTCATATGAAAGCCAACTTCAAGGGCTACAAATCATATGAAGACACCATTGTGAGAATCGGAGAGAAGCAAGGTGAAAACAGACGATGAAGTTAGACAACCTCTGTTTAGATTTCAGAATGCGACCTTCCACCATTTTATTCATATATTTTTATTGGATGATTCAAATCCAGTTTTGCAAGTTGTGTTGGATAGAAGACTTCATTAGCTACAACTTTGATGAAGGACGAATAGTCAGAAGTGAACTATAAAGCTGATTTCTGCTTGCAGTTGCCGCTTGGTGTATTGGCGGTCTGCGAATAACACCTAATACTAATACCGGAGTAGAATTTTTTGGAGGCCCCCTTGGTAGTTGAGGCCCAAGGCAGTTGCCTGGCCCAACTGCCCTCAAAGCCGCCCCTGACCATATCCTCCACTTTTTCTCCCAATCACTTTCACCTTTTCCTTGCTCTTCGCGCGCTTCTCCTTGTTCACGCACTTCTCCAGGTTCGAGCAATTCTCCCTATTTGAGTGCTTCTCCAGTTTTCCGCGCGAAGCATCCTGATGGGATCTTAGATGTTGCATGAGCTTCTTCTTCTCCAGGTTCGAACGCTTCTCCAGGTGTCTGCGTGAACCAAAGGGTGCCAGTTCTGACCGTCGATGTTCATTGGGCAAACCAGAGGGCTTCTCCACTTCTCGAGGGGGTCAATCTCTTAAGAACCTAAATGAAGAAACTGAAATGAAGAAACTGAAACTAAATAATACGGAGTAATTCCCGACTCCTATTTATAACAATTCCCTTATGGGTCGGGCCCGACGTTAACTAGTACCTGGCCCCAAATTGAAAGAGAGAAATTGATGTCTATTAAGAACGTAAATGAATACATTTCTCGGCCTTTTGGATAAGATCAAGTGTAGTATCTGTTCTTATCAGTTTAATATCTGATATGTGGGCTATTAGCTCACACGATATTAACTTTATTTTTTAAGGGAAATTAACTAAATAATAATTCCCAACTCCTATTTATAATAATTCCCTTATGGGCCGGGCCCGACGTTAACTAGTACCTGGCCCCAAAACCCTTATTTATACATTATCGCACTACTTAGTACGGAGTATGATTCTATTATTATTTATATTGGCTATCCATGTCTCTATCAACCCCATCCCAAAAATACAAGAATATTTTTGTTGTGTAAAGGACTAAAGGTAGTGCTTGCGTTTGCTGGTGGAGTCGTGGGAAGTGTTTTGTTCTAAAGATTATGGAGGAAGTTTCTAAATGTAAAAGTTGGTAGCATTTGAAAGTAAAAGTTATTTTTTTAGAAGTAGAAGTTGAAGTGTTATTTAAGAGATTATAGTAAATAAGTTCTTTTTGGTGTACTATTTAGTTTAAAAACTATAGAAAATTGGAATGCGATTTTAGGCACCCTTACTCTTGCTTAGAACTTTTGACTTTAATGTGCTTAAAATAAAGCAAAAGAATCTATGTAAACAAATTCTTTTGACTTTAATGACTTATGTAGTTGTGTCAATTTCTCAGATGTCATTTATATTCTCTATTGGTTAATAGTTGGTGTTCCTCTATTGAAATTGCAGCTGTGGAGATGGTTCATTAGGTGAACCTCCTAGGCAAGGAGATGGTCAATGTGGTAACATGAGGCTGCTCTTGAGGCAGCAACAACGGGTGAATCCTGTTACCTGCTATAGAATTGGCTTATTGTTCAAGTTACTTATAATTAGGGATGGCAACGGGGCGGTTCGGGGTCGGGTATATCAATTACCCGTACCCACCCCGTTTGATAATATTTTCCCCCGAAACCGCCCCATTACCCATCGGGTATTCTTTATCCGCGGGTAACGGTTTTCCCCACGGGTAACGGTTTCCCCGCGGGTAACCATTTTATTAAAAGATAATTTTTTTTTTCTTCAAAATTAGTATATATCCTAATATGATGATTAACTACTTATAATTGACCACCTAAATTTAAAAAATCAAAATTAAATAGCACCATAGATAAAGTTTTTTAAAACATCACAAAAAATTATAATCGTTTGAACCTAATATTCACAAATTATATATGTCTAGATTTAAAATTATGAATCTCTTACTACATCAATGTCAAAAGATTAAGTCTGGTCTCGATAGTAAAATCTAAATATGAATTACAAACACATTTAACTTCCAAAAACTAATAATCATACCCACCATCATTCAACATCTAAATTTAAGAACAGTAATGTATACAAGTAGCATAATGAAAATGGGAAGTTTTTTTCCTGAAATATTACTAATAAAAAATATATGGACATAAATGTGACTATAAGCTACAATGGGTAAGTTTTATAGTCACTACGATATAACATTTGAATAAAATTATAAATACTAAAGTTACTAGAGTCACATTTTCGTCCATTGATTATAGATTTGGAATTATTTCTAAAAAATGTACTTCTAATACTATGATTTAGGTATTCTTGTAGTTACTGTTTTAGAAACATCATAATTTAAATTTAAACTTGATATAATTTAGAGCAACCAATCAAAATTAATCTGATCATCCAATACACCTCTACAAAATTATTAGCAATTACATAAATTAAAGCAATCTAGAGTAATGTTTCCCAATATTTGGACTTTAAACTCATATGTGATCTTTATGAAAGTTATTGAGTGAAAAATTAAGAGAGTCACAATGTGAAAATTGTGTACAGAAAATCACGAAAATCAAATAATCAATATGTGAAGAAAATAAATCATGTAGAAGTTAACAAAGGAAGGATGATGAATGATATTGAAAATTAAAAATCTAAAATAGTGAACTTTGAGCACCAACTCCTCAGAAATGCAAAGGATAGCCGATTAGTTGAATATTTTTCAAAAAATTAGAGGGAATAAGTGTCATATAGTAATGTACTACTATTCATATATACTTAATATATTAAATAATAAATACGTAGTACATAAACTATTATAATATGTAAATTATTGTGCGGGGTCGGGTAATGGTGCAGGTAACCGTATCCAAATTAAACAAGGCGGGTAACGGGGCGGGTAAAGGGGCGGAAGGTATAAACCCATAACCGCCCCATTACCCGTTTACATAAATCGGGTATTCCCTGCCCCGTACCCGTTACCCTGTCAAAGCGGTTTTCCCCATTTTGACCGGTTCGGTTTGGTGCGGGTATCAATCGGGTCAGGTTAAATTGCCATCCCTACTTATAATTACAACACAAGGAGTGATTGTTTTTATTTCTGGACCTTTTTGTCACAGATCCTCTTGGCAAGATCTGATGTGGCTGGATGGGGTGCCTTTCTGAAGGTACAAAACCCTTTCTCAATCCACCTCCCAGAAACTACATGCCTATTAAATTAATACACGACTCTACATCTTTATAGAACCCGGTTAACAAAAATGAATATCTGGGAGAATATACTGGTGAATTGATCTCACATCGAGAAGCAGATAAACGTGGGAAAATCTATGATCGCGCAAATTCTTCTTACCTTTTCGACTTGAATGATCAGGTAACCTTTACAAGTACTCACATTTATTACACCTTACGGGTCAGTTTGGAATTCAAAAATGCGAGGGAAAGAAAATAAGGAGGAAAATATATGAGAAGAGTGGAAGGAACGAAAGTTGGTTGGAGAATAAGACAATTTGTTCAAACACAATAGATTGGTTTTTATATTTGTTCAAACTCAATGTATTTATATATTTCTATTACACTGTTTAAGAAACCACAAACACGTTGAAAAATTAAAAACATCAACCAGATGTCATTCGCGTTTGATTTTTCTACGGTAAACTGAACACCACCATAAAGAGTACGGTTTGTTTTTTGTGAGTTGACTTCGTCATGCTACTATCTTTGCTGGCTGTGCAGTATGTGCTTGACGCATACCGCAAAGGAGATAAACTGAAATTCGCAAACCATTCGTCAAATCCAAATTGCTATGCAAAGGTATGCAAATCACTTACATGGACTAGATCATTAATTTATTCAAATATTTATCGTCCGTTCAGCTTATATATTAACAAGAGAGGATGGAGGATTGTTGTTCAGGTGATGCTGGTGGCAGGGGATCACCGGGTTGGAATCTTTGCCAAGGACCGTATTGAAGCAAGCGATGAGCTTTTCTACGATTACCGTTATGGCCCTGATCAAGCACCCTTATGGGCTCGCAAACCTGACCACCACCAGAAGAGAGACGGTTCTCCATTACCACCACCCCAGCAAGTTCGTGCAAAGAAGCACCACCAAACGCTTCATTAACTAAAATATTTAACTGGGACTGTCTGAGCCAGGATGTCGCCATTTCACTTTTATTTTGTTGTAAACAAAAGTGCAATATTAGTGTAAATTGCAAAAAATGTACCTTGATTCATAGGAAACATATTTACAGTACTCCATATAAAAAGATCATTATTCTTGGACCCCCCCAACTTCAATCTTAAACATTTTATACAAGTTAATGTAATTAAGTTACTACAACAATGTGTTCAGTTTGTTGGTTTCTCTTATTAAACTACCTATGTTCAAGTTTCTGAGAGTCATAGAGGACCAACTTTCTTCAGAATTTTCCATTCAATCGTTCATAATATGATGCCTTTATCGGCTCAAATTTAACTAGAGTATGTAAGCTCCTATTTAATTAGATTCATTGTGGCTAGAAAGTGTTTATATGTTTATATAAACATGTTAGATATATACTACATGCATTGTGAATAGTATAAGTCAGTTGAAGGATAGTTAGTTAGTTAAGTCTGTTGAGCAGCAGTCCTCTATATAAACTCTTTGTTCATTTCAATCAATGAGAATATACTCTCTTTCTCTCTCTCTAATTATATTATGGTATCAGAGCTTTAGCTCGATCCAATCATTGTGACCTCCACGACTACTTCATCTTCAACCGCTGGAAGCCCTACGCAACTCTTCACTCATCCTCTTCTGATCAAACTTGACTCCAACAACTTTCTATTTTGGAAGCATCATGTTGAATGTGTGATGCGAGTTCACAAACTCCTAAAATTTGTTGAAAAACCTAAAATTCTAGAACAATTCATCATTGGCGATGATGGTGAGACCAAAATGGTGAATGAAGACTATGTTATTTGGGAGCAACATGACCAAATGATGTTCTTCTGGCTTCTCGCATCTCGCACTGAGTCGCTCCATGCTCGAATTATTCAGTGTCGTCATTTGTATCAAATCTGGAATGAAATTCAAAAGTTCTCCAGTCAAATATCGTTGTACGAGCTCGTCAGCTTAAATCCAAACTCTACAACACTGGCAAAGGTGATTGATCTATCAACGACTATCTTCTACGCATTCAAACCATTGTTGATAGCCTTACGGCCATCAGAGAACATATCTTTACCAAGGATCACATCAACGTCATCCTTGAGGGACTTCCAGAGGAATACGAGGCTCTCGTATCCTTTGTTTCTTCACGAAGTATTCTGGATCCAGTTTCTCTCTCTGAACATGAAGCTTTACTACTAGCCAAGGAACTTCGAGTTAGAAAACAACGTGACTCATCACAACAAAATATGCTCTCTGTAAATGTTGCTCGTCTAGAAAATTCAAATCCAAACAATGATTCCACTTCTCAAAATACTACAGAAAGATCCCCTGCTTATGTTGCTCAATTTCATAATTACAATAATAATCCTCCCTACAGAGGTAGAGGTCATGGAGGCCCTTTCAGAGGACGTGGTAAAACTGGCCACATTACTTTGGTGTGCTATCACAATTACAACTCTACATATACCACTGTCATCTCTCGCAATTCAAATCCATCCTATTCTCAGCCAACTCATCCATATTCTTCACAACCTGCCACATTTTCAACTCAACCAAAACTTCCTTCATGCATTCCACAACAAAGCCCTCCAGAGAACTACATCTGGAGTTATTCTCCATCTCAAACACCTAATGCAGCCTGGAACCAAATGTCTCATGCTTCTATCAATCCTCCACCCAACCCTTATGCACTCCTACAGATGGAACCAACAGCCTCAATATTTTGGACCTATTGCAGTCATGGCATCTGTTAACTCTTCTATACTTGGACCTCATCCACATTCTGACACCCGGTTTCCAGATTCAGGAGCAACTCACCATGTTACAACTGCAGCACAATGAACCTGCTATTACAACTGACAAGCATTTTATGGGCAATGGTCAAGGTTTGGATATTAAGTCTATTGATTTCTCTTCCTTTCCTTCTCCTTATCATCCCTCTTATACTCTGTTCCTTAACAATATTATCCATGTTCCTTCCATAACCAAAAATTTACTCAGTGTTAGTCAATATGCCAAAGATAACAATGTTTTCTTTGAATTTCATCCTCATGAATGTTTTGTTAAAACATGGGCTTCTAAGAAGGTATTGTTACATGGAATTCTGAGTGCAGATGGTCTCTACAAGTTTCAGTCTCTTCCAGCACTTGTTTCTAGTCAATATGTTTCTCTCAATAAATCTTGTAATAACATTCAGTCTTGTAGTAGTTCTATATCTTGTAATTTGTGGCATTTGAGGCTTGATCATCCTCATCTTGAGGCTCTAAAATCTGTATTGAAACATTGTACTATTCCTACTCTTAATAAAAATGAAGTTGACTTTTGCTCATCTTGTTGTCTTGGCAAAGCACACAGACTCCCACTCCACTACTGTTTTTCACTCACCTTTTGATTTAATATTCTGGGATACTGCATTTGCAACCTCAGTTCATCTTACCAATAGAGCCCCTTCAAAGTCTATTGCCAATTCTAGTCCATATTTCAAACTTTATGGATCAATTCCAGATTACTCTTTTCTCATAGTATTTGGAAGTTGCTTTCCATTTATCAGACCCTATATTAAACACAAAATGGATTTTCACTCTGAAGAATGTGTGTTTATAGGTTACTCTTCTCAACATAAGGGCTACAAATGTCTCTCGTCTTCTGAACAAATCTACATTTCCAGATATGTTGTCTTTAATGAGTCTAAATTTCCTTAACTCTTTACTTCACATATCAATCAGCCTCCTACTAACTCTTCTTCACAATCGCACCCATAATTGTCCTTAATCCTAGTTCCTCACCACTTATTCCCGATTCTTCTGAATCAAACTCATCCACATCCTCTAGTACTCCTTCTTCACCTCAAACTAATCCTTCTCATTCAGTTTCTACACACGCTCCTATCCAACATGATTCATCTTAGTTCATCTCTTCAGAACCTAGTTCATAGGTAGGTTCAATACCTCATTCTTCATCTGACTCCTCATCTTCTTCACATATTATTCCTTTGACTAACACTCACCCTATGACAACAAGAGCCAAATCTGGAATTGTTAAACCTAGACTTAATCCTACCTTACTATTAGCTCATATTGAGCCTAGGTCAGTTAAACCTCTCCTCATCGATTTGTTGCCATGAAATCTGAGTATGATGCATTGCTTGCTAACAACACATGGTATCTGGTTCCTTTCCTCCAGATAAACATGCTATAGGCTGTAAATGGGTGTTCAGGGTAAAGGAAAATCCAGATGGATCCTTGAACAAGTTTAAAGCAAGATTAGTTGCTAAAGGTTTTCACAAAGGTTTGGTTTTGACTTTGGAGAAACATTTTCTCCACTTGTCAAGCCTATTACTATTAGGTTCTTCTTACTCTTGTTGTCTCCTATCAATGGTCTATTCAACAGTTGGATATCAACAATGCTTTCCTTAATGGGGATCTTAATGAAGAAGTCTACATGGTACAACCTCTAGGATTTCAGGCAAAAGACACATCTTTGTTTTGTAGACTTCACAAGTCTCTATATGGTCTGAAACAGGCCCCTAGGTCCTGGTTTCACAAGCTGACTACAGTCTCAAGAAAAGCAAGTGTGATCCTTCGTTACTTCTCTTTGCCTCTTCTGGTATTCAAATATACATTCTGATTTATGTTGATGACATCCTTGTCATTGGAAACGATTCTACAACTATCGAGAAGCTTATTCACAAGTTGCTTCATCTTTTTCTCTTAAACACTTAGGAGACATTGATTTCTTTCTTGGAATCCAAGTTCACAAACTTCCAGATGGCAGCCTACACCCCTCTCAAGCTAAATATGTCAGAGATCTACTCAATCAATTGGCATGATTGATTTTAAGGGAGTTAAAACACCTATGATCAGTAGTTGCAAACTCACACATGAAGGGAGTGATTCACTGCCTGATCTTTCTTTCTGCAGATCTATAGTAGGTATCTTACAATATGCTACCCTAACAAGGCCTAAGATAAGCTATGTTGTTAATAAGGTCTGTTAGTTCATGGCTTCACCTCTACAAGAGCACTGGAAAGCAGTAAAACATACCCTTCACTATCTCTCTAGCGCCATTACACATGAAATTCTCATCAAACCCATCTCTTTATCCATTATGGGGGTGTTTGGTTGATGGCCTATCAGCCATTTTTTGTCTGATTTGACCACTTTTTGGCTTTTTGACCAAATAAACAGTTAATTAAGGTGATTGGTTAATTGGCTTTTTCACTTAGCTTTTTGTCTCAAACAGCCAAAATTAAAAATGCTAATAAAAGTGGCATTTTGCTCTTGGCTGTTCCAGAATATACACGGTGTTTCTATTTTACCCAACCTCCCTCCGTTGTCTCTTGGTCGGCTACTTTGACTTTCCCAACAAAAATACGTAGTAATCGTTAGTGGGCTTTCTTCACCTATAACATCAAATAAAGTGGTTCATAGATATAACATATAAGATAAATAACTAATTTTGAAATAAACAAAATCAAGCTTTAAAAAAACTCTAACTTGTACTAGATATTTAAGGCTTAGTGGATTCCACATGTATATTGATATTAGGTACCGGTATAAAAGTAGTGTTAAAAGTAGATTTTACCCAACGCTTCTCAATTTTGGTGGTCTTCTATTACGATATATGTTTATAAAGTAGTTGGAAAAAAAATTAATTGATGTCCTTAAAAGTCATTTTAATAAGTAATCAGCTGATTGTGAACAACCACTTAACCAAACATCATTTTACAAACTGCTAATACTATCGGCTAATCAAAATAGCCAACAAGATCCGTTGTCATGAATCAGCCAACAACCAACAATCAATTGCCAAACACCCCCTATGTCTCTGCCCATTTCAGCATTTTGTGATGTTGATTGGGCCTCTGATCCTACTGATAGAAGATCTACATCACGGTCTTGCATTTTTCTTGGTTCAAACATTATTTCTTGGTGGTCCAAGAAGCAGCTGCGTGTTGCCAGATCCTCAGTAGAGGCGGAGTATAGAAGTATGGCTGATACCACAATAGAACTTTTGTGGGTTCAGTTTCTTCTTCATGAACTTCAAGTTTCTTTTGCTACTCCAAAAATCTATTGTGACAATCTGAGCGTTGTTCAACTGGCACATAATCCAGTGTTACACTCTCGAATCAAGCATATGGAGATTGATCTGTTTTTTGCACGAGAGAAAGTCCAGTTGAAGCAACTACAAGTGTTTCACATTCCTGCTCAACACCAAGCAACTCACTGATGTTCTAATTAAACCATTGTCCGCTTCATCCTTTATTGACTTGAGAACCAAACTCAGTGTGATTGCTCTTCCGGTCCAATCACCCTGAGTTTGAAGGGGAGATGTTAGATATACTACACGCATTGTAATTAGTATAAGTCAGTTGAAGGATAGTTAGTTAGTTAAGTCTGTTGAGCAGCTGTCCTCTATATAAACTCTGTATATTTCATTTCAATCAATGAGGATATACTATCTCTATCTCTCTCTCAAATTCTATTAAAACATAACGATTAATAAATTTCACGCAATTATCTCATTTCCATTTTTATGTTGATAAACATTTGGGGGATGTTTGGCTGTTAGAGTTAGAGCCAAAACATTGAATTCACCCAAATACAATAGATTGAAATGACGTTTTCACCCCAATACTGAAAACAAACAAAGCCTTAATCCGTATTTGTTCAAACAAACTGAAATGGAGAGTCCTTTTGATGACTTGGATTTTGGATATAAGATTGAATCAAAAGTAACTGCATATGTGGAAGTCTCCCATAAACCACTGTAGTCAGTAGTAGATAAAATAAACGATAAGAAATGTGCGTCCAAGATTTGAGCATTTGCGCCCGCGGGCAAATTATAAATACCTCCAATTTAATCAAAGGGTCGTTAATCAACACATCAATTTCTTCAAATATATATCCAAACATGACCTACAGCAACCATCACAACTGGCATCAATCTCACCGCCGCACACAGCGTCTCAGCCATGGCGGCGTCACGTCCGGCGAAGCCCCAACCCGTGCAGTTGGCTTCCTAAAGAGGATGTCAAGCAGATTCAGTGCCGGGAGGGTGCGTGTCCGGCCTGTGGTTGCCGCTTTTGACAGCCTCTCAGAGAAGGTGGCAGAGAGCATGAATAACGCAGATGAAACCTACGCCGACAATCCGGAGAGCGGGGAGTGCGTGGCGACTTGGGATGAGGTGGAGGAGCTTAGCCCCGCCTCAAGCCACGCGAGGGAGAGACAGAAAGCGAACCCATCAGATCCTGTGGAAAAGAAGAATTACTTCAACAATTAATAATGATCATGTGGAAAAGAAATACCCGTAAAATACTCGATCTTATCATATTGAATCTAATTTCACCATTTAGTTCGTAATTATTCACCCCACATAGGGATGGACTGGGTCGGGCCGAACCGGCCCGGAACCGAACCGGCCCGGTACTGTTTGGGCCCGGACCGGACTGGGACCGGTTGGCCGATTCCGGGCTTTTAGCCCGTTTGGGCAGGTCGGGCAGGCCGGGCTCGGGCCCAATTTTGGGCAAACCGGCCCGGGCGGTTCGGGCCGGGCCCGGGTCTTTTTTTTCAATTTTTTTCTTTTCCTAGGCTAGGGCTGGGTGTTTTGGGGAGGTTTGGGGGTGAGGGGTCAGGGGATAACTAGAAAGCAAAAAAAAAATAGACATCGAACCGGACCCGGTATCAACCCGGGCCGGTTCCGGGCCCATGAATTTGCAAAAAAAGCCCGCCCAAGCCCAGCCCGAAACCGGAACCGGCCTGTGTCCATCCCTAACCCCACACATTCCGAATTTCCGATTAACCGATGTCATAGCACGCAGTTAACCAATTCTTTGTTAACTAAAGTACGGTTATTACCCACAACATTACCCACATACCATATTTATGCGATTCAAACCTCATGCCATTTCGTATTTATGTGATCCAAGGAGACTATGTACATGACAAACTAACAAGTGCGTGAACCCATGTGGTATGGGGGCCTTCAGTTTCTATAACCTCAAAAATACTTATCCATGTTTTATTTTTCAACATTTCATTATAACAAATATGGAGTACTGTTTATGTAAAAAAATATGCTAAATCTTGCACCAGAATACCTTCCAAAGTCCCAAAAAAACTGTAACTCCAACCTTATAATGAAATATCAAACCCGAATTATCTTCATATTACATGAAGACATGAAGTTCAAACTTCACTAGCAACTTAATGTCAAGCAAAGACAACCAACACCAATGCACAGCCATACACTGAAAGACACAACTCGGAGAATATGCTGCCAGACAATGGACATCGTGAATAATAATGCTAAGAAACAAACAAGTAATAATGATACAATTAAAGACTCATACACAAGACACACAAAGAGGCGGTAATTGAAGCTTCTTCTCAAAACGGGAACATATCAGCAGATGCAACAATGGGTTGAGTAGGACAAGGCAGCTGCCACGGCTCAAGCAGAACATCGGGAATCTCATGGATATCCACCACAGTCTCATTAACCTCTGCCCAAAGATGGAGGAGTGAATTCATAGACTGCAAGCGATCCGCCAGCTCAGCACATTGAGCCCTCAAAACGTCATTTTCAGTAGAAAGCAGTGCAAGGCCTTGACACAGACCATCAATTTGCTGCTTGCAAACACTCTGCTCGTTCTGGAGGAGAGCCCTCTGGCTACACAGCTCCTCGACATGCTGTTGCTTCCTCAGACGAGATCTCTTTGCAGACTCACGGTTAGATATCATTCTCTTTCTTTTCTTCTCATCATACATTGCGTAACGCTGTTCGGCATCAGACGATGATCCAGAATGTGCAGGCTGCTGTTGCACAGAAGAAGCCATTTCTTTCTCTCTTTCGAAATAGATGATTTTGTATTTCAAGATTGGGTAGATTTTAACTAGAAATCAGAAACGCTTGATAAGAAACTATGGTCTGGGCTCGGAAATGAGAAATCTTTTTAACAAACAATTGATTAGGGAAGAAGTTTGAGATGTTGCAGAATTGAGGGGGTCAGTTCATGAGAATACGTAAAACCAGTAAAGAAAGACAACTGAAAAAGAGTGGAGAATACGAATCCTACGCATTAGGATGGATTTCATATAGGAAACATTGATAGATGTATTTGTACAGCTCTAAATCTGGAATTGAGAAATCAAACTTGGAATGTGAAAAGTAACCCTAGGTTGAGATATCTCGATAAAATATCAGAGAGGACAATAATCCTGAAACATTTGACTGTAGATCGACCTGACAGGCTTTGAACGATTAGATCTGTGCATAAAAAGCAACATAAATAAATCAGCCACAGATAAAACTTAAGATTAACAAGCAACATAAGCATAAAGCAGATCAGCGAAAGCAAATCAATAAAATCAAGTGAATCAAAGTCACCATGGCATCAAAGATCGAACAAACAAGTAACCTCGAAGTTTGATAAAACAACAACAGAATTTAATATATCAGCAACACTGAAGAAATAAGCAGTAGGTAAAAATACAGGAAACAAAGTAGAATTCAATTTCGAAAAATAATATATTCAAAATAAAGAAAAAAAAGGGAAAAACGATGCTTACGTGAAGAAGAAGAGGTCGCCTGAGATTTTCAACGACACGGTCGGAGGAAGGTTTTAAGGAAGGATAAGGGATGGTATTTATAGGCGGCGGAGAGGCGATTGCAGTGTTGGTAGGTAGTACGTAGTAGGTAGCAATGCATTACCCTCGTCCAAAAGACCCTCGTCCAAAAGGTGGGAATCTCGAGCCCCACCCCTATCTTACAGGATTATGGGGAGTTTAATCACGTTAATTCAGTAAGAAAAGGGGTTCTATCCCTTATACACGTGAGCAATTTGAGGTTCAGGTTTATTTCAGGTTCTGTAACTTCCACACGGTCGCTGCGTGTTTCGAAACTTGGTCACTTGGTCCAATTTTCCTACCACTCGACCAACTGGTCCTAATTATATGTACTTATTACGGAAAACTCGATAGAAGCGGTTTGTATATTGTGGGATGAACATCGTCCCTCACTCTCAAAACGACGTAGTTTTGCACAATTTCATTAAAAAAAATCGCATGATGAACAATACACGCATGTACAGTAACTGTTTTTTCTTTCTTTTTGTCTCAGTAACATGAATGATGTAACTCGCGTGTAAAGATATGTAACTTACGTTATTGATCACCGTAATTCAAGTGCATTCGAAATGTAACTTGTCTAATACCATCCTCTGTTCTTTAATTCTAGCAACAGTTTGACTTTCACGTTTGCCAACACACAACTTTGACAGTAATTATATTTAATTATGTATTAGTAAACATTATAAAAATTTGATATTATGGAAATTCACATTGATAGGAATTTAATAACATTTTATGCGTAATAATTTGATTATGTATATTAGTAGAAAATCGTGGTCAAAGTAAAGTCTGTGAATAGTGCAAAAATCACAATGTTGCAAGAATTAAAGAGAGTCTAATTGCACAATTGTTAGAAATACAATATTGATTTCAATGTAAAAAATGAGAAAAGAGAGTCTAAATTTCACAACTGTTTTAGGTAAACCGTGAATATGATTTGTTTTTAATATCATGACCATAAAAAATAATTTTTTTAGAAAATATCATTTTTTTGTTTCAATATCAGGGGTTGATTTTTTAATGTAACTCATGTTATTACAAATCTAACTCGCGTTGATGGAAAATATAACTTAGGTGTATATAGAATGTAACTTGTTGGAAAATTGAACAATTTTTTTGTGTGTGTGTTTGAGAATAAAATATACCCCGTAGTATATCATAAACATTGATGTCAATGTAAACAATGAAAAATTGATTCTAATAGCTTAATTGCTTTTTTAAAATAGTGAATATGTTTTATTTTTAATAGAGTTTTTTCCACTTTTAGTCCTTTGACTATTACGTCATTGACACATTTGGTACTCGACTTTGATTTTTTTCATTTTTAATCCTTAACTATTGCGCTAGAGACACTTTTGGTACCCGTCTTTGAAAATTTCAATATTTAGTCCTTCAACTTTCATAAAAGTGACACTTTTGCTTCTTCAACTATTATAATAGTGACATTTTTAGTCCTCCACTTATTGTGTCAAAATCATAATAGGAGGACTAAAAGTGTCAATTTGACAATACTCAGGAACTAAATGTGGGAAACCTTGAAGTTGAGGATTAAAAGTGTCTCTAGCACAATAGTCAAGGACTAAAAATGAAAAAATCAGAAGTCGAGTATCAAAAATGTCATTGACATAATAGTCGGGGGACCAAAAATGGCAAAAACTCTTTTTAATATTAGGGCTATAAAAATGATATAGCAGAGGTTTATTCTGTGGTGTAACTCGCATACATTAAGATGTAACTTGTGTATATTAAGATGTAACTCGCGTGCATTAAGATGCAACTCACGTACATTAAGATGTAACTCGTGCAGAAGAAGATGTAACTTCAAGAATCAAAATAAACAAACTCAATGTCTTAAAAAACTTCTAAAAACAAATAAAAATGATAAAAACCTATATTATAGAAAGAGTCTATCCATATAAAAAAATATTACAAAAAAGTGTATTAATATTAAAAGTATATTACAAAAAAAGTATATGAATATAAAAAATATTACAGAAACAAAAATAGTGTATGAATATGAAATGCAATATACTTATTTTATTTAGTGATGGAGTTTAATCCAATTATGAGAGCTATATCTACGAGAGCAGATGAAAATATGACAGCGTAAGGCAGTATTCTATTATACGGAGTTCGGTCCCTTGATAGAAGTTTACAGGAAGTATTTATAGACTAAAAGAACTAGTATTCTAGGATGAAACTTATGCAATAAATTCTATTAATTGTACATTAGTTCGAGTAGGACTCATGTAACGTTTTTCCCGTTATGTAGTAATCGTTCCCTTAAGTTCACGTTCCTGCCATTTATCCTTGTCTGCTGTCAAATAGCTATGCGCTAATGATAGCCCGCCACATAAGACCTAGCAATATCATGACCTCACTAGAACTTCGCTCAGGCTCGAGGTCTGTTGTCCAGTCTGGACTGACTGTGGGTTCCTGTTGTGAGTCTGATTCCTAGTTAGGCCCATCAGCTAATATATATGTCCCGTTTATGGGCTGATCCCGTTGAGGGCTTGATCCCGTTGTGGGCTAATCCCATTAAAGGCTTGATCCCGTTACGGGCTTGGTCTGTATTTCCGTAATTGGGCCATGGTTGGAGTCCATGGTACCATCACGAGCCCCCTACTCTCTAAAATCAGCAGGGCTCGATTTTAGGAGAGTAAGTTGAGCGGTTAATCAATTTCAAATTCCGAATCGTTTTGGTGGACTGTAGCGCAACTTCTCATTTAATGCGACCCTTTTGACATAGGCCTGAAACCCGGCACAACTTCCAATCCGCCCCACCATCTTCAGCACTCAAGCGCCATCATTACAATTTCCAAGTTGTTTTGGAGCGGTTTGCAAGCCCTAATCGTTAGGTTATAAAAACGTCTGCCATTCCTTGAAGAAATCCTTCCGCAATTTTGCTCTTGTGCAAGCATCTTGTCTTCTTGGTTGGGAACCCTAAGCCGCAAGAACTTTCCTCCGCTACATTCGCTTTCTTCAGGTTAGTCCCCAATGTCATCTTCTAGTTATGTCCCCCTTCATCATGTCTTCTCCGATGACGGGGCGAATTCGAGCCAACCCCGAATTCTGGTGGATTCTTATGGGGTTGAGACCCATTTCTTCCTCTCTTCTGATTTCGCCTGGCGGGTCCCGGCCATCACCCTTTCTGATGCCGATTTTCATGAGGTGGTGGCCCTTGCGGGTCCTAGTGTTGTCTGTTCCCGACCCTCTCCTGGCCAAAACTGTAACACTGTCCCCGAGTGTATTTACTTTTTAGTAAATAATGTAATAAACCTTGAAGGATGATTTATGAATTTACGTGATGGTAAATTTTTGTTAGTTATTTTGCGTGAACAGCAAATTGTACGCGGGGCCCACATCGGGAACAGGGGCCATCAGATATTTCCGATACCACATATTATATTATCTATATAATATGTATATGGTGTTGGATATCCTAGTTGGGCAATATCAAAGACGTAGGTTTGACCGGTTGGTCAAACAAGGCCAAATTACTGATATTGGCAATTTATCAGATAACAACCCGAAAATGAATTTCGAGGACTTCGAAATTAAAGTTGGGAAATGTATATTCATTCTAAGTTCCAATAAGGATTGAGAACATGTGTTATATTTTATTTGACCCGATAAAATAAAATGTAATTAAAACAGTCCGAAAAATACAACTTTCGGGGCCGATGGTACACATTGGGACACAAAGTGATGACCTTCCACATGTGTGGGGGCCACCCCACGTTTTTCCAGCCTTTAATGATGACAAGAGTGTGCAAATGTTGACTTTAGAAGAGAGAATCGAACTGAGGGGGAGGTTGAGACAAGAATTGACTCCAAGAGAACCCCTCACCTCTCATCATTGTGAAAAGAGCCAAAATGAACTCCCATCACTCCCTATAGCCATCCATTCGAATTAGGCATCAACCAAGGTGAGAGAAGCTCTGCAAATCATCATCTTCTTCATCCATTTTCGAGCTCAAGCATTTGAGGTTCAAGGAAGAAGATTAAAGAATGAAAAAGATAGGAAAAGTGTGAAGGATTAAGGTAATGACCTTATAATAACTTTTCCTCTATTTTCTTATCTATCACATGACATATATATCATATGGAGGACCCATAGGATTGTTCTACATGTTTAGAAGTGTAGAATGAGGGGTTAGAAGGTATTTCTAAGTCCAAGAACGGACTTAGAAGCCAAAGTGACCGGTTCGCCGAAAAATAACCTTTTAGAGGCTAGTTATATTAATATAGGTTTTTTTATGATAAAACCTTTTTAGGAACTATCCTAAGGTGTTCCTAGTATTTCCACAGAGTTGGAATAACTCGCCGGAGTTTGCTAGAGTTCAACAAAGTTCGCCGGAGTTTTGCCGGAGTTCAACCAAGAAGGGTAGAACGCATTAAAGCTTCATTTAATGTGAGAAGATGGATTTATGCTTTATAACTTTTGCGTGAGGCATGAGATTACCTAAAGTAATCAAGAATATATTTTATGGAATGATTAAAGATAATCAAGTATTTGTTGTGCCATGATTATATATAAAACATAGTTGAAAAGCATGTCATATATGTTTGATGATTAAAAATGTGATAAATTATTATGTATGATGTTCCAAGGATCCAAAAAGGTATTTTTGGATTAAGTACGTCAAGAAATACATGTGTATAAAATTTCACGTTAATCAGACTTCATTTGGGCGGTCAAACAGGCGTTGACTGCCAAGTCAAAGGCTATACCCGACCGGGGATGGGTAAATACCCGACCGGGTATTAGTTAAAAACAGCCCCAGGGGCTACTGCCTCACCATACCCGACCGGGTATGGTTGGATACCCGACCGGGTCTTGGGTAAAACACCCAATATGCAGTTTTTGAGTAAATATATGTGGGCCGTTCGAGTGGGACCCGCCCACGTTGGTTACCAAGGATTATTACATGACTATAGGGCTAGGTATTGTCCATGGTTGAAGGAATAAAAGGTTAGCCATATCCAGGTTAGGATTTGGTAGAAATAAGGTTGGGGTAGGGTACCCTTGGACGATAAATGATCCTAAATACTTCAGGTTGGGATTGAGTACCCTTGGGCGGTAAATG